GCCCCAATGACTGCATGAGTCTTTGGGGGACAACTAGACACAAACTATAACCTAAACTATGTTATAGACTTTAAACCTACAATCATTAAGTTTCTGCACTTAGCAGCCTCTTGCCTCCACCAGTCTTTTTATTAGTAGTTCCACCGGCCCATCCATAATTTAAGAAGGTATTGTTTGGAATTAAGAACTTTTTTTCTAGGCAGGGGTTTTGGTTAGTTATTGCTGCATAGCAGATCTCCCCCAGATTTCCTATAAAACTTGATTCTGTAGGTTGGAGATATGAGAAGAGCTTGACTAGGCAGTTACCTTTTGCAGTGCCTTATACATGCAGTTGTTCAAAGGCTCAACTAGGCTGAACGGCCAAGATGGTGCCTGTACATGGAGCTGCAGACTGTTAAGCTGCTTGTTGTTTGGGAGTTCCTCCGGAGCCCTTGTGAGTTCTCTCCGTGTGCTTGGGCTTCTGAGAGCATGTTTGGCTGGGTTTTAAGAGGAGAGTATCTGAAGGACAAGCTTTTTAAGAAATCAAGGCCACTGTCATACACTACCATTTCCTCAAATTCTGTTGACTAGGTGCTTACGGAGGCCAGCCTGGACTTAACAAGAGGAAAATTATGTTTCTATTCTTAATAGAAGAATCCACTATTTTTAATTTTAATATATGAAGCCAAGTAAAATGATTTTTTTTCTAAGCCATTTATGCTATAGCTGACCAAAACCAAACAAACAAAATAAAAAACAAAAAAAACCAGACTAACTAAGCAAGACATTTATTTCAGATTGGGTATCTTCTTATCAGTCAATTTTACATCTTCCTGTTCAGCAATAGCTGGCCTTGAATGTGGGCCATTTTTTCAAGCTTATACTACATTTTATAAATAAACTAGATTTTTTTTCTATTTACATGGAGAAGTTTTACCTATGAAACTATTTGATATTTTGGGGTGGCATTTCTTTTCCTACTTCATCAGTTTCTTCCCAGATTATTGACCTAGCCAGATTTTGTTGTCTTGAATAAGTTTTTCCTTGGAAATTTATCCATTGTACTAAGATTGTCAAGTTGACATCAAACTTTTTGAATGTGCCTTTTGTAAATATGTTAAATGCAGAACGTAATT